GTCTAGGGTTTAGGGTTCAGTTTAGGGTTTAGGGTTTAGTTTAGGGTTTAGGGTTTAGGGTGAACTTCGACAGTTGCAGTTGCCATGAAAGGATCCCTGATTTCGCTAAGATCGCATCTCTTTGGCAAAATCTCCTGAGTTGTAAAAGCCGTTTTCGGTCATATATACTGCAAACCCTAAGCCATCAACCCGAAGCCCTTGACCCTAGCTAATATACTGTAAGAAACTATAACCTACTATAATATACTATAATAGTTAGTTTCACATATTATAATATCTGCTAAGCCATGATTTGCACCTTGCAGTTTTGTTTGCCCTAGTGGAGGATCCAGACATTTTAAACACTGAACACCCCATGCTCGAACCTAACCGTGCCCGAAAAGCCCTTGTGTATGAATGGAAGCGTCTCAAGCTTCTATGTAGAACCCTCAGAGACGCTGATGAAACAGGCACAGAAGTACCACGATCTTTGGTTATTCGTGTCAGGTTTCGTGGCGTTGTTTTCCCATTTGACTTCCGCAGTAATATAAATACATATATATATATATATGTATAAGATATAAGTGTTCGTTTCTAGTGGAAACACATGTTCCGATTCCTCTATCAAGCCAGAAACCGGCTGGAACCTGGGACGTGAGCCAGATCAGGGCGTGAGCCTAAATTTAAATCCTGAAGACTACCGAAGCAAATCTCGAACTTCGCCAGGTTTCGCAACCCACACAGGGCGGACTGAGCAATGTCGTGAAGTTGGTGGCTTGGGCCCTATCTGTGCCGGTGTGCATCAACCCCAAAGCCTACACCCATGTGCGCTCTTTTCGGTCTTCGGGGCTGTGGGGTTCTACTGCTCCTGTAAGGCTGTACGATACACAATTCATACTTCAGCCGAAATCCTCTTCAGCCTGAAAGCCCAGAGATCAACTTCCAGGGACGGCGCTGTCTTCATTAGTTTGTACTAGCAGCACCTCCTGCTCCGGCTACGCCGGATACTGCGACTACGTAGCAGTGCTTTCGTAGTTTTCTGATGGCGACGGCAACGACAATGTTATTTTTTTGTTGATTACTTGGTTTACCTAGCTGTCATTTCCTCTCCAAGCCCCCGGCTTCTTTCTTCTTACACTGCTTTGCCCTAAACCTACACCCTAAACCCTGCTGTGCTTCCGGAGCTTGAGGTGAAAACCTTCCTTGAGGAGAGACACTACCGCGAGCTTCACAGGACTCCGCCAGCCTCAAGGGCTTCAACAGGGTTTAGGCTTTCGTCTTTAGGGTTTAGGGACAAAAAACCCCTAAAATCCGTGGTTCTGGCACATCCTAGAGGGGGTCTGAAGCTGTAGGGTTCTTGGTGCATGCCTAGACCCTCCAACTATCCTAACTGGTAGCACCGAAGACAGACATGCCACTGAAGAGTATCAGAACCCGTTGACAGGTACTTGGAGACCTGGATCAGTGTTGGGGTGTAGTGCTTTAAAGCTTGCAGCCCTCAATCGCCTCCATCATAGCTCGGCCGGCGGCCGCCGCTGATCGCGGCTTTGGGCTTCGCCAGAAAATGGTCTTTGCACAGCAGCTCTAAGCCCCAAACACCTATCTTTTGAAGTCCGAAAGGGCTAGCGCAAGCAAAACAACCAGCCAAGTTCTGATCCTAAACCCTAAACCCTAAACCCTAAACCCCATTCGAAAATTTTCAAAGCAGGATCCTATCGGCCCAGTGGGGCGGCGCGCACTCCCTCAGTGCCGTAGTGAAGCTCATGGAGGCCAGCAGCGGGAGGATTGTATAACCCTAACCCCCCAGGTACCTACTATATTGGGCCCTAGGGGCTCTAGTACCCTATATAGTAGGTACCTGGGGGGTTAGGGTAAGGTTTGGGGTTTAGGGTTTACCGCAGGGGCCTACAGAATTACCAAGACCATTTAACTCATTTTTCGGGGTTCCTTCTTCTACTTGTAATATACTGGGCCCCAAAACCCGATTCTAATGATGAAGGCCTCTACATTTTGGGAGGCTTGGGGTTTAGCTTTGAAGGCTTGGGCCTTCGGTCGGACATTCGTCAGTGTCAGCGAGTTCAGGGTTTGCATCCCGCCGGGTTACCCTAAACCCTAAACCCTATGGTGTTGTGTAGGGGTTTATGGCTCTTTAGGATCTGGCAGGGGTCTACTAATCAGGGGCGCCAATGTAGTTCCTTTTTGGGTCTGTTATGGTTTTTGGTAAGGAAGTATAGTATACTATCCAAAAAGAAACCACATAGGAGCCTTGGGTAAAGTGTGCCTCTTAGTTGAGGGTGAATTGGGCCCCCTTCACGGATCTCACGCATGAAACCAGCCGAAAGGCATCCTACGATCATGTGTTTTAGAGCTTTAGAGTTAAGTCCGGTATAGGTCTGTGGATCGGGGCGGGATTAGATTCCTCGCTTGAGCGGATGACAGTGGCTTGGGGCTAAGTGCTTAGGATTTCCGGGTAGGGTTTCCTCATTAAGGCTCAGACTTTAGAGTTTGAGACAAGACTTAGGCCTTTGTTGTGTAGGGACAGTTCCTCAAATCCCAAGAATCTCTACAATATATTGTAGAGGGTCAGATCTGCAAAGTCGTGTCTCGTTATTGGCCCTAGATCATCATACTCTATAAAGCAGAAGCGCTCTTGTCGAACTGTCTAGATCCCTTTATTGTCTAGCTACGGTTTTGGTTCGTAGCTGCAAGATATTTGGGCCGCTTTGGTCGGGCGCATTGTCCACAGAAGCTGTCTAGCAAGTTCAGTACAGGGCAACGGTACGCGACCAGTCGGAAATCTCAGGACGGCGGCTGATGCTGCCATTCTTCATAAGGTAGACGGCGACATCGTGGCCAGCCTCAACTCCTGACTCCATCGATGGTGCTCCTGCAGACTGGGCTTCGCACTTGGAGACGTTGGGCATCAGCCCCACTTTGCTTCTCCCAGTCTGGACAGACGGGGACAAGTGTTGGATCAGGAAAGGTTTATTCGGACTCTGTGTCTGTGGCCTTTGAGAAGACACTGTGTCCGTTGAAAGCTGCGACCATGGAAGAAACCTGCTACACTGGTATAGGGAGACGTTGGAATTTTCATCAAGAGGCACTGAGCTGCCTGTTAGGTGCCGATGGCCGTGCATGTCCCTTTGTAGTCCGTAGTATTCAGTAGTATCAGCCCTCTCGCACACACGTACCAAACACGCAAGCTACCCCAAGTAGGTCGTGCGACAGGCTGCCATCTTGTAAAGCTTGCGATCGCCATCTCATCCCTCAGCCGTCTGGCGTTCCCAAGAACTGCCAACACTTGTCCTCAAGGCTCCCATTCAATTGCATTCAGGCCCTACATGAAACACCTAAACCAACTTCAAGAGGCCGCTTTTGGGGGGGCACTTGTGAAACTTCAGGCACACGGCATGAAGGTCACCCCAGAGGAGGAGGAACGGCTGGCTGCACTACCAGAGGCTTGGGCGTGGTTGCGTATCTTTACAGGGTTTAAAGGGTTCATCGGGCATCTATAAGAAGACTACGGGTTAGAGGTTTCTGGGCTTGAGGGCCTATTGTATGAGCTGTGTGATTAGCCGTCGGTTGTCTTGTTGGTGTTTTGGCGAGGTGCTGTAGGCATTCAATGTCCTTTCTGGTCGTCTCTACCTAGCGGGGTTTAACGCGGTTTTTGTTCAACCGGCTTTACGAATGTGTTGTATAGGCGGGGCTTAATACGCTTCAAAAGGAAGCTATCGCGATATGGACTAAAAACATCAGTATGTAGACCTATGTCATGTTCATGCGTACACATATTTATCTATTAACTATCTATCTATCTATCTATCTATCTATCTGTCTATCTGTCTATCTGTATATGTACACAGATACTGACAAATAGACAGACCGACAGATAGATAGATAGTTAAATGAATAGATATGTATGCACGTCGATAATATGTATGTATGTATGTTTACACAGAAGAATTTCACGGGTTTTCGTTTAGGGTCGAAGTCGAAGTCTCGGGGGTTAGCGTCGAGATGCTTAGGAAGCTGAAGGGCTTGTGTTTGAGGAGTTAAGGGGTTTTAGGATTTTAGAAGCTAGAGATTTAAAAGGGGAAATGTTGGTTGAGGGTTACAGGGAGTCTGAGGAAGCTGTAGCGTTGATCCCGTGCCGCTCCTACTGTGTGTTACTTAGTAATTATTGTCGTGTTTATTGCAGTATATCCCGAGGGACTGTTATAGTTGCTGTATAGCTGCTACTGTTATGGTGGGTCTAAGGTGCCTCTAGCATATACGAACTAGGCGTGATACTGATTGGTGTTTGTCTCTGTGTCTGCGCAAGAGCCGAAAGTCCTTGTGTAGGGCTTAGGGCTATAGGTGTACACCAACCCCCAAAATCACCACTCAAACCCGAACTCAAAAATCGCCATAGGTGCTGCCCCAAACCCCTGCAAGTCCAAAGGCCTAGGACGTGGGAGTTAACAATGCGCCCTACATAAGAACGTAGGATTTTTTTTATTGATTTAAAACAAAATCTACAATTTAACGGTAAGTCCTTCCCCCTGAGTACCATAAGCCTGAGACCAACAAACCCCGGTCACAGCAGCCCTAAACAGCACATTCCCGTAATTGGGAAGACTATAAACCTTACTTCCTAAACTACGAAGCCACCCCCATAAAATTCTGCAACCCTCATCCCCAGAACCCTAAACCCTAAACCGCGCATCCCAACACTCAAAAGATATCTCTGCGCCGCAGGACAAGATGATCGATGCCCTGGTCATGCGCATGCCAAACCAAAGCCGCGCTCTTGGTTTTTATCGTCTCAAAGACCCAGGGCTTCGGGTTGGCGATGTAGCAACCTTATAATTAGGGTTCAGGGTTTAGGGTTTAGGGTTTAGGTTTGCAATGTAGCAACCTTATAATTAGGGTTCAGGGTTTAGGGTTTAGGGTTTAGGGTTTAGGTTTGCAATGTAGCAACCTTATAATGGTTTAGGGTTTAGGGTTTAGGTTTGCAATGTAGCAACCTTACCCAGAGGCTCCATATATACTACCATTATGGACTTAGGTCCCTAAAACCTTAATAAGGATGGTCGTTTGGGACCTAACTCCATAATGGTACTATATGTGGAGCCTCTGGGTTATAAATCACCAATATCTTCCTAAGGGTTCCCCTATTCGAGTCATACCTATAGTCTCCATTGTAGTTCTGTTTTTGGTTTAACCAATTATATTATAAGGACTTTATAGGGTATCCCCAAAAAGGAACTACAATGGAGACTATAGGTAGTATAACATGCCCCAAAAGCCTACTCCAATTGCTCCGCTATTTGGGCTTTGGCCTTGTATCATAAGCGCTCTTTTGTCGGGTCCAGTGGTGTTGGGTTTTGGATCTCGGGGGAGCGGGGGGGGGTTTGGGGGGGAGTGGGGGGCATTGGTTGTGTGGTTCAACCTTTTAGGGTTTGGGTTTCGGATTTAGGGTTTAGGGTTTGGGTCCAGGACTAACGGGGTGTAGACTCCAAGGAAATGGGGGTTTCTGGTTCCTAAAAACCCAACCCTAAACCCTGAAAAGCATGGGGGGTTTGGGGGTTTAGCGGATTTCGAGTCTTGGGTTTGGGTTTGTGTACCAAGGCCGAGAGCAGTACGAGCACTTCTTCCTGCAGCTGTCCTTCATTGCCTCCACGACGCCCGGCTGCACACAATATGGGGGTCAAAAGGATTTGTAATACTATTCCTAAGGGTTCTTTGAGGGGTCTACTCGGTCTATTTTGGCGTACATGCTTTGGGAGGATTTATAAGACTACATGTTTGAGCATGTCGCGCGGGCGCGTGTGTGTGTGTGTGTCTGTCTGTCTGTGTGTGTCTGTGTGTGTCTGTGTGTGTCTGTGTGTGTGTGTGTGTGTGTTTGCACATGTGTTTGTTTAAGCATGTTTGAACCGCTTAGTGATTAAACCGTGTACACAGTTCAAACAATTTTGGCTGCGGGCCCGGATTGTTTGCACATGCTGCGAGATTAAGCAGTACATTCTCAAACAGTTTAAGCACAAACCCCCTGCCCAATAAACCCCTAAACCCCCAAAAGTCCCTAAACCCCTAAACCCTAAACCCGAAACCTCCAATGACCTCCGGGAAGACCCCTTTGATAGCCCTGCTTCGGTCCTTCTGAGGACGACACGCCTGAGGGGAGCTCTGGAGGCTGCAAAAAGAGCTTAGGGCTTAGGGAGCCATAAGGGTTTCTTTTAAAGGGATCCATAGGGGTTCCTTTAAAGGGATCCATAATTTAAAGGGAGCCATTGGGGCTCCTTTGAGGGATCCATAGGGGCTGCTTTAAGGGATCTTTAGGGGTTTAAGCGGTTTAGGGTTTAGGGTTGAGGGCTGAGGGCTGAGGGTTTGTGGTTTAGGGGTCTTAGGATGCTAGGCTTTGGGGTTCTACCGGATGTCTACTTATATGAGGCTCGGGGATTCCGAGTGCATGCTTGCTTTGTTCTTCGGTTGTGTTAGATCGGATGACGAAAAGTTCAGAGGTGGTCGCCTGGACCATGTACCTTACGATTTTGCTTTGGCGGATGAGGGGCCTTAAATTGGGTTTAAAACTCCTGGCTGCTGTGTTTTCAGTTCAGCAGGACGGTGCTTTGCTTTAGGGTTTAGGGAGTTGCTGGTGCTTTTTGGGGATGAGGAGCTTCACAATTCTGAGTTGCGCTGCTGCAGCTCAGTAAGCTTGTACCAAGTAGTTCATTTCAATAGAGGTAGTTCTCCGAAGGAGGGTCACTCTTCGGGTCCAGAAACTGCCTTGATCGACACGACCCACATTCCGCTGGGGACGCCGTTGGTCCACTCCGACCCGGACCGAGCGGAGGAGGAGCCTGAATTCGACCCTCAGGCTCCGCTTACGCCCCACCGCGTCCTTCAGGGACCAAGGGTCCGAAGGTTGGCGCCGACTTTCTATTTTTCTCCCGTCCGAGCCCGGCCCGTTCCCTAGGAACGAGAGAACGCGTATCCGGACCTCTTCTGTTTTGAGGACTCGGACCTCCCGCCGCGGGTCCTTCTTTTGGTGAACCACCCATATAGATCCAACACCAAATAAAGTAGGAAGCCCGAGGCCGCATTGGAAGTCGCGCAGAGTCCTTCGACTTAATTAACAGCTTTAACCAAAACGCGGTTGATTCCCTTCAGTGGTTCAGGCTCCGAGGACGCACCCCCCCAATAAACCCTTCCCATAGGCTCCATTGTAGTTCCTTATTGAGGTTTGTATTTAGGATCCGATAAGGTAATCCCAAAAACGAGCTGCAATGGAGCCTATGAGTAGATATTTTGAGCTTCAAAAGCCAGTTCTCAAACTCTTGTGCCTTTCACAACCCAACACCTTCCGTAGTCTCTTCCCCAATTGCTAAAGCCCCGAAAACGTTAAATCCCACTCCCCAAACTGCAAGCCCCAAATCCTGGTCCTAGTTGTATTAATCCCTTTGGAAACCTCAATCGGCCCCTAAACCCTAAACCCTGTAGAAACCTTAAAAGGCCCCTAAACCCTAAACCCTAAACCCTGTAGAAGCCCAAAGCCCTGAACCCCAATCCCTATAGAATCCTTAAAAGACACCCAAACCCTAAATAAACCCTAAACCCTAAACCCTAAACCCCAATCCCTATAGAAACCTTAAAAGGCACCTAAACCCTAAACACTAATCCCTATAGAAACTCCTTTAAGAGCCAACCCAAAGTCCCCTAGCCCTGAACCCCGAGCCTAGAACCTTAGATCCCACGACGCGCAGTGCGGCAACCCGGACGTGGTTGAAGAAGCCCTGGACAGTGCAGAGAACGTCGGAGACTGGACCTCAGGTGAGGGAGCTGTGCTGGGTTGTTTTAAAGATAAGCCGGTAAACGGTATCAAGGGGTTGCCCAAAGGCTCCGTTGTAGTTCATTTTTGTTTTGGGATTACCTTATAGGATACTCAATCTGAACCTCAAAATGCAACTATCATGGATCCTACAGGTAAACAATGATTTGTTTACGGTTGTATAAGATGTTTAGAGTGGGTTCTCCGCAGGATTTGCTTCAGGCTTGCCAGGGCTTCTGCAAGCTTTAAGGGCTTGGCATTTGGTGAGTTTGTTTGATGCAAGTTTCCCTAAACACTAAACCCTAAACCCTAAACCCTAAAAGCCCCAAATCAAGCTGTGGGCTACCGATCCTTATAGCCTGTATGTTACCATAGTACTACCAGTAGCCCAGAAACCTGCTACATAGGCAACCAGGCCTATGCCAAAAAAAACCGTGAAAAAACGCTTCTTTGATACCCTGAAAAGCCCTGTAAGCCCTTATGGAACTCTCTAGAGCTCGAAGGCTGGATGAAAATGGTTTAGGGTTTAGGGGTTTAGGGTTTAAGCTTTGGGGTTTAGGGTTCTGGCATAAGATGGTTTAGGGTTCAGGGGTTTAGGGTTTAAGGTTTAGGGTTTAGGGTTTAGGGTTTAAGGTTTAGGGTTGAGGTTTTGGTTCCGTCACTTCAAGAACTCGGTCCGTCAGAAGTATCGAGTCGTCGGATTTGGGTGTGTTGTAGAGTGTTTTGTAATGTTTCACGAGGGGTTCATGAAGACTGGGTTTCGATAATAGGGGCTTGGTAGGTATTTCTTTCGTCTTAAGGGTTAAAGCTGCGAGGGTTCCATTGAGGTCGGTGTTTAGTACTTTATCGACATTTCTGGGCTTCCGGGATGTAGCCATAAAGCCTATATAGCCTAGACCCCAGGAATCTCACACCTTTGAACCCTGAACCGTCAGCGCCGTAAGCCCTAAACCCCTAGATCCCTGGACTCGAGATCCCTCTAAGGTTTAGGGTTTCGGGCTCAACCCCTAAACCCTCCAAATCCCTAAACCCTAAACCCTAAACCCTCCAAACCCAAACCCAAACTCCGGAAGCCCTATCATAAGCGCGCACTCAGGTCTTGCAATACCTACTCCGGATGGCGGTTTCGCAAGCAGGGGGCGAGGCAGGGTCTCCCTATCGGTCTCCATTTTAGTACCTTTTTCTGGGGCTTTCCTTATAAAACCCTGAATATGTTATATACCTGGTTAAGACAAAAAGGGAGCTACAAGGTCTGGGATTACGGGGTTTGGGGTTTAGGTTTAGGGTTCAGGGTTTAGGGTCTAAGGTTCAGGGGATTTGGGTTTTCAGTTTCGTGGTGTTGGATTCTAGGGCTCAGTTTGGGGGGTAAGGATTAGAAGGATTGGGGTGTTGCTTTATGGATCCAGATGTTTTACCCTAAACCCTAAACCCTAAACCCTAAACCCTAAACCCTAAAAAGAGGTCCTGCTTCAGGTCTCTGGACTGGGGGACTCTATTTGCACTGTTCGATTCTTCGCCTTCAGACTAGAGGTTGTGAGGGTTCTTGCTGGGCCCACCTTAGCATAATAGCCTTGTACACCTTAGCATAATATCCTTGTACAGTTGGTGTAGAAAATTACCAGTAAGGCCCTTGTAGTTGCCTGCCAAGCACAGGACTCATTCCGGATCCAGGAGCACCCTCAGCACTAGATCCGAAATCCTCTCTACTTTAAGGGAACCCTGAAAGAAAGCAAAAACGCATGGCCTGGTCCCCGCAAACAAGTCTCCTTCTCCTATACCTGGTCTCAGTTTGCCAAGTGCGAATTTTACCAACGCTCTTGACTTTAAAAGTGTTGAAGCCCTCGACCTCTGCGTCGTGTAAGCCCTGAGCCGTGAAGCATGCGTGCCAGGTCACGACCATCGCGGATCTTCATGATCAGTGGCTGTCGGACACGGAGAAACGGATGATGCCTCTTCTACAGGCGCAGGCGAGGTTCCGGGCACGCCGGTAAGTTTCTTAAGGCTGTTAGAGCTTAAAGGGTGCCACATTGGTTTCGCAAGGGCTTCTGATTCTGCGGAGGGTTTATGATTTGGGGGTCTGGTGGTTTTGGGTTTCCCCAGACATAGGATCGTGCTAACAGGGGCCTTAATAACTAGAATAGGGCTTTGGGGCTCAAAATACTGTAATGATAATAAGGAACCCCCCAAAATAGAAAAGGTAATTATCTAGGCCCTAAACCCTAAACCCTAAACCGTGGTATTACCTTGTTTGTGGTGGCTTCTTTCTTAACAGGGGTGGAGGCTTGTTGCGAGGGCCTAGGTCGGGTCGAAGGCGTCGGATTCAGGGCTCCGGGCTTACGGGTTCACGATTGCACGGCTGAGGGTTTAGGGTTCAGGGTTTAGGGTTTAGGGTTCAGGGTTCGGGTTTAAGATTGCAGGGCTGAGGGTTTGAGGCGCATCTGCACATCCTCGGCTCAAGAACGGGCTGTGTAAAACCAAACACCCCAAACTCAAAATTCTACCTGCGTTCTATTCAGTAGGCTTCAGGGTTTGGGCTTGGGATGTAAATTCACCCCCTATTTGATAGAGTGTCAATCGACGCGCGCGCAGGCCACGTCCATGGCCACGCAGAAAGCTCTTGCACAAGCACGAGCCCTCATAGGCTTCGCTGTGGTGGGTTCGAGTACCATAGGCTCCAGGGTTTAGGGTTTAGGGTTTAGGGTTTAGGGTTTAGGGGTTTAGGGTTTTTCCTTTTTGGAGATTACCTTATTAAGGATCCTAAATAGGAGCCTGGGGCCTGTTAGTTAGTAGGGTTGAAGTGAGGGTGCCGTGAGGCTTCGGGTTTGGGTTTTCGGATAGCTCAAGGCTCCGAGCATATGTTGCATTGACGTTTTTCTCTAGGTGGCGATTTGGGAAACTTTAAAATTTCCCTTATGGTTTCTATAGAGGTACCTATTCACAAATACTTTTCAGGGCCCCAAAACTACAACCCAGTTCTGATCTACACAGACCCTTGTACATGGCAAAGATAGACCCCTCAGCCCTAGACTTTTCCGGAGATCAACCAGACTCTCAGCGATTTTCTTATTCAGAACCTAACCCTAAACCCGAAACCTTAAACCCTAAACCCTAAACCCTAAACCCTAAACCATAAAACCCTAAAACCCTAAAACTCTAAAACCCTAGAACCCTAAACCCTAAACCCTAAACCCTAGGAATCCTGAACCGTCCCAGGGCCTGTAGGCCATGAACTCTCCAAATCTTCCGCTTTTTCAACTCGTGCGGGTCCCTTGGCCCTGGCTTTCCCTACTTTTTGGAGGGGGGTTTAGGTTTAGGGTTCAGGTTTAGGGTTTAGGGGTCTAGTTTATCGTCACACCCTTAGCTGATGCAGACATGGTCGACAAAGAATCATCCTGAAAGCCTCAACAAAGTCCTAAACCCTAAAGCCTAAACCCTAAACCTCTGTATGTCTTGTGCCGCAGGCGGCTACATGAACTTCGCCAAGGAGCGTCCGCCCCCCCCCCCCCCACATGCGGCGGCATTGATCGACTTCAGCTTCCGTTCAACAAACAAGCTTCAAAAGTTTGAAGGCTGCATCAACTGTTCGTGTTCTTGCCCTTTTCAGTTCTAGAATGTAGATAGTATGTGCAGATTCAGGCCTCCTAATCCCAAAACCCCAGACGCCAAGGCATAAATCCTAGTTTCTAAATCCCTAGGTTCGCCAGTAGTACCCTTTCGCCCTTTGCGTGTTTTGGCTTCCCTTCTTAAACCCAAATAGTAGGAAAAAGGGTACCCTCATTATTCATGGGCTTCTGGGGGGATCCTATCGACGCGACGTCCAGGTCTCTGGTGCAGGGTTTTGGGGAAAAACCGGTCGACTTCCCACTCCTTTGACGAACCCAAACTCCTAAACCCCAAGCCCTAGAATGTCTTTCTGGAACTTGCAGTCCGTTGGCAGGATCTGAAGGTTTGCCCAAACCTTAAACCCTAAACCGTTTGTTATACAGTTTTTGTTCATGAGCTGCGGAGTCCTTCAGGGGCCGATATAGGTTTCCAAATGGTATCCCCGTGGTGACTCTGAGGGCTGAAGGCTTCTAACATAGCGGCCTTAATAATTAGAATAGGGTTTGGGGTGTGCTATACTCTAATTGTACTAGGGGGCCCCCAAAAACCCTGTTTTAATTATGAAGGCTCGTACATGATGCTTTTGCGGCTTTTGGGTCGCCTCTCTCTTGCTCGACTTCCAATCGTCTGAGCATGCTTCCCTAGGGGTCCAAGTGCTCAATTGGTAGGGTTTTAGGTGCCAAAAACACCATTCAGGGTATGAAATTTTGGACATCAAGCCCCTACTACTACTACTACTACTACTACTACTACTACTACTACTACTACTACTTGAGTACTTGGACCTCTTCTGGGCTTGCTTTCTCCTGCTCACTTCGCCGTCTGCTGAAAGCGCGGAGCTCAAGCACCAAACCGGAACCTGTCTCCTCGCAGCCAGACTGCAACCTTGAACCCCGAACTCAAGAAGCTACCCCGAAATCTCGCAACTCCAGTCGAACACCCCTAAAATCGGGGCCTTCATAGTTACCATATTATTTTTGGGTGATATACACCAAAACCCTGTTCTAATTGTTAAAGCCCGTATTATGTTACACTCTCCTAACGATTCAACCAAGAGCAAAAGCTCGGCTTCTAGCAGGACACCGCCCAAGCCTTCCTGACCAGAGCCGTGAACTCTGGCGAGGAGGCCGCTAATTTTTGGCTCTGGGGCGCATTTATAGTGAAAGGGCTCTGTGCTTAGGGTTCAGGGCTTAGGGCCTAGGGTTTAGGGTTTCAGGTTTCAGGGTTTAGGGCTTCAAGCATCGGTATTCAGAGTGGAATTCGAGCTTTGCTGATCTTGGCAGGGGAGAATGCCTCCACGCTTGTCGTTGGGGGTTTCTTCATGCGGACCAAATCTATTGGGTACAAGGTTGAGAGCTTGCAAGTTTTACACTCCGTGCCCAAACTACTAAGGAGCCGGGTAGGTAGTTTTTCGCGTTATTGGGTGCAAGCCAACCTGCCATAGTGATGAGGTTGGCCGTTTGGAGGCTAGGGTGCTCAGTCCCGCCGTAGATCAAGGAAGGCGCCCTTTACGAGCGAGTGAGGTTTGGATCTGTGCCCGCGAACTTAAGCTGTTCAGGATTTAGGGTTCAGGGTATAGGGCTTAGGGCCAGATTTAGGACGATGGGACAATGGCAATGAGCGATGGAAGGTTGAGAGCGAAACCTAATCGGGTGGGTCTCAGGGCGTAGAGTCTTCAGATTTAGAGACGGTGTTTTCTGGTTTCTGAGAACTGCAGAGGAGCGGTGTTTTCTGGTTTCTGGGAACTGCAGAGGAGCATTCATCGTTTTGGGTTTGGGGCTGGGGATTAGCATGCCAGTCTTGCTTTCGTGGTTCAGGGTTCCGGGTTGAGGGTCCACGAGTGCGTCGTAGAAGCATCCTTTCCTATGGGCTTGTTTTCCCTAAACCCTATACACCCTAAACCCTAAACCCTAAACCCCTAAACCCTAAACCCCTAAAACCCTAAAACCCTAAACCCCTAAAGCCCTAAACCCTAATCCCCTAAACCCTGCACCCCTAAACCCCTAAACCCCTAATCCTTTCTCATGGGCTCGTTTTCAGGGTTTAGCCATCATGCCCCGGACTGCAACTCCAAATTGCACGGCCACCCTAAAACCCACATCCTTCATGTGGGTAGTTTTCTAAATTAGGGTCCCTTTTAGGGTCCTTTTTATAAGGGTGCCGTATTACAAATTGGGGACCTAAATAGGGACCCTTTTAGAGAACTACCCACATCCTTCATGTACATTTCCTCATTTAGGGCTACTTAAGGGTTCTTCGTTAAGTGTTACGATCAACTGGTTCCGGAGGAACTGGAAACTGTAGCCTAAAGTAAAGCATCATACAGGCAAATGGTTCAGGGTCTTAGGGCTTAGGAGAGCTAAACCCTAAACCCTAAACCCTAAACCGTGCAAACGACCGTGGGCTTGTGAGGCGCACGTGGCCTTAGCCTTCCTAGGCGGGCCGCCCAGTCCTCTTGAGACTCCAGCATGCCTGAATTATGAGGGTTGGGTTTAGGGTTTAGGGTTGAGGGTTTGGGCTCAAGACAACCCACCCTAAACCCTAAACTCGTAAACCCTAAACCCCAAAACAATTCCTGTTCGAATCCCCCTCAAACCAGGTGCCTTAGACTTCTCGACTCCAATATCACGTAGCTAAGCATTCGTATCAGGAGCTCTAAACTCCCTTAGCCCCACTGAAGCATCAAGTTGGGCAAGGTAAACCTGAAACCCTTAACCCTTAACCTCAAGCCCTAAACCCTAAAACCTCAAGCCCTAAGCCCTAAACCCTAAAACCCTAAACCCTTAATCCCTAAACCCTAAACCCGGAGTGTTGGGGGTCTTTCAGGTTCTGGGCGCTCGGGCTCTGAGGGCTCAAGGCTTTTTGTTGTTACGGGTTTAGGGGTTAGGGTTTGGGGTTTAGGGTTTAGGGTTTAGGGTTTAGGGTTTAGGGTTTTAGGGTTTGGTGTTTAGGGGTTTAGGGTTTAGGGTTTAGGAATAGTACTAATATAGAAGCCAAACATTTACCTACATTATTCCTTTGGGTTCCTTATTGCATTTATAGTATACAGGAGACCAGAACCCGATTTCTCCGTGCCACTTCTGGTCATGACGTATCTAATCCCTTTCGTGTCAGTCGCCAAGATGAGGGAGGATCACCCTGCCATGCGTGATCAACTGGCCAGCTTCGACAAGTTCATGGAGGCAACAGGGGGCCATAAGTGGTCAAGAGGGGACACCAACGGCTTCCCATTTGCGAAGTACTTGATGACACCCGGTGCAGATTTCTGCAACTGGACAGCTACTCCAACCCTGGCCGAAGCGGCAAAGGGCATTGCAACCCATTTTGGGGTGACTTGGGAGCAAAACAGAGGCCACTCTCACCGAAGGTCGGTCAAGCCACTGCAGTCTGTTGTTGGCGCCATCGTTTCCCAAGTCATCTGGGCCCAAGCCGGACAACCGCTAACACAGAACATGAGTGCCAACAACGCAACCCTGTTCTAATTATTAAGGCCCCCACATCACGGACAGTGATAGTACTGTAGTAACCCAGAAAGACTGATTACCATACACTGTAAACCCGGCAGTCTGCAAGAGTGGCAACGGGCCGGACAGGCATTCTTGACTTTAGGATGTCCGTGGTTTTCATTAGTCAAGATACGGATACGGCATCATGATTGCATGAGATTGCCGAGGACCTACATAAATCCCGAAGATCTATCCCTCGAGAAGCTTGCAATCACTACTACGCCATGTTGGTTTCAATTCCCCTCAACCCATAGTACCCTCTTCATCATGTCTATAGAAGTCTATCTTGGCCTCTTTACTAGAGCCTCTAAGGAACGCTGGAAACCTGGGCACCTTTCTGTTGCTTTGAACCCTGCACCCCCAAAGCCCTACAAACTACAATCTCAAAAGCCTGAAAAAAACCTCACTCCTAAACCCTATAATCCCTAAACCCCTAAACCCCAACACCCTAAACTCCTAAACCCTAACCCCCAAAACCCAAAACCGCGCGTAGGCTGGAAAGAGCACCTCAAGTGGCAGCAGCACGAAGCGGAGCTTCGCCGAGATGGCGAGGCCTTGCCTTGCCCCAGGGGTTTTTTGTGTGGTCGGTAAGCACCCATCCTAAACCCTAAGCCTCTATAAACCCAAAACCCCAGACCCGATCCTAAACCCTAAACCGCCTAAACCCTAAACCCCAAACCCATCCTTTACCCTAAACCGCCTAAACCGCCATGTTACACTTTCTGGAATTGGCTGTAGGGTTTGCAGGGCTTCAGAGTTGTTTAGGGCTCCGGGAGGTCTACAGTCGGAGAGGTTAGGGGTTTAGGGGTTTGGGGTTAAGGGATTTAGGGTTTAGGGGTTTAGGGGTTTGGGTTTAGGAGTTAAAGTTAGGAGTTTAGGGGTTTAGGGTTTTAGGAGTTTAGGGCTTTAGGAGTTTCGGGGTTAGAGGTTTAGGGTTTTAAGGGTTAGCGGTTTAGGGCTTAGGGCTTAGGGTCTAGGGTCACAGGGTTCAGGTCGCGGAGTACCGGTGTGCTCAGTGTCCAAACTATGCATGACCCTGCGCTTCCAGGGAGCTTACTATTGTGTCCTTAAGGGTCCCGGGCCCTGACTGTAAGGTCCTTGGAAGCATGCATGGGGTGAGTGTATGTTGTCTTAGTGCCGTTCATTGTGGGACATTCTCATTTCGATGTCAGGTTGCATGGCTTTGTGTTTAAAGGGTGAAGGCATACCTCCGCCTATTCCCGGCTTTGTCTCAGCCGCAGTTCCGTTGCCTCGAACTAGCAGCAGGCCAAAGTGGCAGATGCCGCAAAGAGGCTCGCGGGTCCTGTGGGTTCAAGTTCGGGATTGTTCGTCGCAGTAATGCGTACCGCCATGTACTGCCTGCCAAACTATACTGAAACCTTAACGTACCCCTGTAAGAGGACAGCAATCCATGATGGGACCTCCCGTTGCACGTCTCGGCAGGATATAAATAATTGTAGCCTTCAATGGTGCCACGGTTTCCATTCGTCGCAGTCGAGGTGTCTGCAGGAAAGGCATAGGGTCTTGATAGGGTTTAGGGTTTAGGGTCAAACGGTTTTAGGGTTTAGGGTTTAGGGTGAAACGTTTAGTTCTTAGGGTCAATCAAAGGTCAAAGGGTTTAGGGTATCGTCGTTCGGGGTAATCTGTGTTCTCATTTGCTATTGTGTCCTTGGCAGTCCGAAACGCAGAAAATTATCAAAGCTGTCCAAGCCCCTTAACCCTTAACCCTAAACCCTAAACCTCATCCTCGGAGACAGGGATCACTAAACCCTAAACCCTAAACCCTAAACCCTAAACCCTAAACCTTATTAAAACAACGCTTCAAAAGGGAACCCACAGTCGAAGGCTTCTGTGGCGGGTTCTCGGTACAGGCCCGGTTGAGGGGGATTCCTCCATCAGTTTAGGGTTTAGGGTTTAGGGTTTAGGGTTTAGGGTTTAGCGTTGTTCCATTGTTTATTTGGGGAATCCCTTGATACCTGTTCCTCGCTGGCATGCAGTTAGGCCTTCTGCTTCTGTCGACGTCTACCAGTCTAGTGTTTGACACCTTGTGTTATTACGCATGCACTTGTGAGTCATTATATTATGTAGTACCTTATGTATGTTGTTCTGGTGTGGCCGTTGCAAATGGCTCCCTAATGTGACACCTTTGCAAAGTTGCATTTTGAAAGACCCTAATCCCTAAACCCTAATCCCTAAACCCTATAAATCCTAAGCCCTGAGCCATAAAGTAAATCCTAAACCCTAAACTAAAACCTAAACCCTAATCCCTAAACCCTAGCTCAGCTAAATGCTGTGCTTAGCTTCAAGATGTTTAAGGGTCTTGGGCTCAAGGATTGGGTTTAGGGGTTAACGGTTCAGGGTCTATGGTTTAGGGTTTAGGGTTTAAGGGATGTTTCAAGGCTTTAAGGCCTTTCGGCTACATCGGCTTTGTCTTGCGGTTTCGGGCTTCAGGGGTCGTCTTCCGATTTCGGGGTTAGGGTTCCGGGCTTTTGTTTTTAGGCTTATCTTGTGGGCGAGAATCAGAGTCCATATGGCTTTATCTTGACCTGGTGCAGGCTGCAGGACTACAAAGATTCGCAGCTCCACCACGTCCACACCGTGGTGCACAGCGGCATCAAGGCCGGGCAAGCATAACAAAGCACACACGAGCAGATTCGGCTGACATTTCTTGAGTTTGGGAATCCAAAGAATAATCTAGATTCTGGACGTCTTGGTCAATTGTTCAATCCCCGTAAGCCACGGTACTGAGGACAGAGAGATTGAGCAAGAGGTTGAGTAAGAACGTGCACACGATGTCTTCAATTACTGTGCGTACAACTCCTAAACCCATAGCCGGGTATCTTGGAATCCACTAGGCAAAGTCACCTAAATTGTACGGTTGGGTCCTTGTCAAGCCATGTCTATGACCTGTACGAAACCCCTTCTCACCGGCCACGGCCCCATTTGAGGCTTTAGCACCTTTCAGGTGCAGCAGAAAGTAGGGCAAGTAGAATGATCTCCATTATCATTACCCAAGGGCTCCTATGCAGTTCCTTCTTAGATAGCATATTATAATTCCTTACCAAAAAGCCATAACAGACCCAAAAAGGAACTACCTTGGAGCCCCTAAACCCTAAACCCTAAACCCTAAACCCTAGACCCTAGACCCTAAACCCTAAACTCTAAACCCTAAACCCTAAACCCTACCTGGGTATAAGGGACCGGATCAGACACTGCACCCCAGACCTTTGAACCCGAAGCCCTAAAATGGGAGCTAGGATTAGGGGGACCTTTGGGGATATAGACCCTCTCAATAAGGTCCTTTTTAAGAGAGCCAAAAGTAGGGTTCAGAAGGGGTGCCCTTTAAGGGGTACCCCTAATAATACTACCTATAAAACCCCAAAAAGCGAGGACAAGGACATGGCCCTTCTTGGCTCTTGCTTTGCGGCGATGCTCTCGGAGGCCAGCGGGGCATTCTAGAAGCTAGTGTGTGTAGGAGCAGTTTAGGGTTCGACTTGCCTAAACCCTACACCCTAAACACCACGATTAAAGATTAAGGCTTAAGGGTTCTCGAGGTTTAGGGCATGGTAGTGTAGGGGCTAAGAGCTCACGATCTAACCCCTAAACCTTATACGCACCCTAAACCCTAAGGTTTCAGTGTCTAGGTACCGGCTGAAGGTTTAGGCGCTCTTAGGCTTCAGCTGTGTTTCCGCACTGTGTTTTTGGATATTTTTGGAGCCTTTCTTGGGGCTCAGGCTTGGGAATTATAGATCTGTCAGTGCTGGGGCAGCTGGAGGCATGCAGGGCTCCAAGGTTAGGCACAACAATGATCAACAATGTCAGAACCTTTAGTTTGGGATTCATGGGTAGCTGTGAGTCTTTATAGGCACCTCAATTTCATTCATGTGCAGTTCCTTTCTTGCAGCTGGACTTGCAGCTGTCCCCAACTGGAGCTGTAGCACTGTTCGATATATCTTCCGTCATATAGTATAAAACCACCTAAACCCTAAACCCTAAAACCCTTAAGCCGCAGTATAGTATAAAACCACCTAAACCCTAAACCCTAAAACCCTTAAACCGCAGTATAGTATAAAACCACCTAAACCCTAAACCCTAAACCCCTTAAACCGCAGTATAGTATAAAACCACCTAAGCCCTAAACCCTAAACCCTAAACCCCTTAAGCCGCAGTATAGTATAAAACCACCTGAACCCTAAACCCTAAACCCCTTAAACCGCAGTATAGTATAAAACCACCTAAACCCTAAACCCTAAACCCTAAGACCCTAAACTGCAGTCTGATGAAGCCGCGAACTGAGCTTCCAGATCTCCCACGCAGTAACCACCGTCTCCCACCTAAGACCTCCGATCTAAGGCGAAAAGATCGTAGTATAGAAGCCTAAATAACTGCCAATATTTCTGTTTGGGTTCCTTGCTGTAAGTATATACTATGAACCAATAGTACTGTTAGGGTTCCTTACTATAACTATATACTATGAAGGAGCCCAAAACCCTGTTCTAATTATTAAGGCCCCTACATTACAGCTACCCGGCTACCCTAAGTCCGATTTTACACTGCTCTTGACCCTATGATCCCTTGATAAAGCCGGGTCAAGGCCATTGAACCCTGCCTCATGCCCTCTTCAAGCGTATAAGCCCCTAAACCCTAAACCCTAAACCCTAAACCCTAAACCAAACCCTAAACTGTTGAACCCTATAGAGCCCTACTTAAACCGTCGCGACACCCCAACCCGAAGCCTGGATGGCCTTAAGCCCGAAAACCGTTGATGAAGGAGCATGCCTTCAGTCGTTAGTTTAGGGCTTAGGGGTTTAGGGTCTAGGGGTTTAGCGCTTAGGGGTTTAGGGTCTAGGGGTTTAGGGTGTAGAGGTTTAGGGTCTAGGGGTTTAGGGTGTAGGGGTTTAGGGTTAAGGGTTCCGTATAGCGTAAGTGTCATGCTCCTTACTTAATAGCGTATTTGGGCTCCTAGGCCCCCGAGAAAATTCCTCGAGGCGACCGCAAGCAAGGATTTCAAGTCCACGGCCAGCGAGGTCGAGGACGCGCGTCAGCGAGGTTGTATTCGGGTCTTGTCTGGTTCTAGACGGGCGGGGACGTTGCTTTAGGGTTTATTTATCATGGCCGCCAAGCGACGTAGGTACTGTCCTGGTACATGGTGCGTCCCGTAAGATCCCGTAGGGGTCCTACGACGGAAGCAATAGTTCGCCCAGCAGTAGTACACTTACCCAAGTAAAGTTGGGGAGTGGAGAGAGTGGAAAGGGTGTACTATAGGGGCCTTAATAATTAGAATAGGGTTTGGGGTATATTATACTATAATATATAAAAAAGGAACCCTGAGTATTAAGGCCCCTAAACCCTAAACCCTTATAGCAGCCCTTATAGAACCCTTTAAGGAATCCTTTAAAGGAATCCCCCCAAAACCCTATTCTAAGTACTAAGGCCCCGACATGAACACTGGGCAACCTCGACTTTCGTTTCGAAGAACTCCGAACTTCCGGGCTGAAACAGTAAACGGTACTATTCCTATAGTCTCCATTGCAGTTCTTTTGTTTGGGTTTAGGGCTTAGAGTAACAGTGTACGGTACTATTCCTGCAGTCTCCATTGTAGTCCCTTTTTTGGGGGTTTAGGGTTTAGGGTTTAACAGCAAGTTATCTGTCTAGGATCCTATAAGGTAACCCCCAAAAGGAATTACAATGGA